ATTAAGGAGGTGTATATATACGTATAAACAAATATTTTATATATATATATATACATATATACATATACATAACAAATATATATATATATGAATTTGAATATATATATATATTAATGTTATATGATATCAGAAGTTTAACTTGAAGGAGTTGGAAGAGTTCTAATTAGAACTCTAGGGTTAAGGAGGATTGAGCTGGAGCAGTGGAAGGATGGGTGACCTACTGGGAAGTGAGTTTCAGGATCGTGGTTTGGTTGGATCGGGTCGGGGTCGGGGTCGGGGTCAGGGTCGGGTCGGGTCGGGAATATGTTTCGAATTTTTCGTTGGAAAATTCCAACGGAATGCGGTTGAAAATCCGTTGGAACTCTTCCCAGTAGTGTGGTGACCTCATTTTTCGGGCATTGATTCAAATTGAACATATCACCCTTCACAATAGGTGTTGGACTCGGTGAACAATCTTTCATCCGAAACCTCTCCAAGACTTTATTGATATAGGTCTCCTGAGACAAACCTAGAATACATCTAGATCTATCTCTATGGATCTTAATTTTGATGACATAAGATGCCTCACTCATATCCTTCATCTCAAAATTCTTAGAGAGAAATTGTTTCACCTCACACAACAACCCTTTATCATTGGTTGCAAGTAAGATTCATCCACATATAGAATAAGGAAACAAATCTTACTCCTATTGATCTTCTGGTATATGCAGTTATCCATGGTATTTTCTTCAAATCCAAATGAAAAAATGACACCATGAAACTTCAAATACCACTTACGGGAAGCTTATTTCAATCTATATATGGATCTCTTAAGTTTGCAAATCAAGTGCTCATCATTACTAGAGGAGAATCCTTTAGATTGTTTCATGTAAACCTCTTCCTCTAGTTCACCATTGAAGAATGTCGTTTTCACATCCATTTGATGTAAATCCATATCAAAATGGGAAACTAATTCCATGATCACTCGAAAAGAATCTTTCTTTGATATGGGAGAAAAAGTCTCCTTGTAATCAATTATTTCCTTCTGAGTGAATCATTTGGCTACGAGTCTTGCTTTATATCTTTCGATGTTGCCCAATGAGTCTTTCTTGGTTTTAAAGACCCATTTTCAACCAATGACTTTTACACCATTAGGCAACTCGACAAGATCCCAAACTTTATCCGATGCCATCGAATCCATCTCATCTTTCATGGCCTTACACCAAAAGTCAAATTCATTACAACTCATGGTTTGTGAAAACGTTTCAGGATCATTTTCGACTCCAACATTATACCCACACTCTTGCAGATACACCATATAGTCATTCAGAATTGCCGATTTGTGTACTCTAGTAGATCTTCTCAAAGTTGTATCAACATTCTCTTGAGGATCATGTTGTACAACCAGTTCAATAACTTCAGGCATTTGTTGAACATGATCTACCGGATCATCAGCTTGTGGACGTTCGGGAACTGATTGTTCAACATGCACTGGAGCTGGATAAGTGCGACGAACGACAACAGTTCAAACGCGACTTGAAGTGGAAGGTTGTGAAATAGAGTGATCACTCTCAAATCTTTCTCCTAATGATCTGTCACTCCCACTAATCAAGTCATTCTCAAGAAATTTTGCATTTCTTGACTCCACAATCCGTGTACTCTGAGATGGACAATAAAATATGTATCCCTTAAACCTTTCGGCATATCCAATGAAATACCCACTAATGGTCCTTGGGTCTAACTTCTTCTCTTGTGGGTTATAAACTCTTACTTCAGACGGACATCCCCAAATGCGTACATGTCGCAAACTCGGTTTCCATCCTTTAAACAACTCGAAAGGTGTCTTTAAGACCACTTTGGTTGGAACTCGATTTAATATGTACACTTCCATTATAAGAGCTTCATTCCACAAGGACTTAGGAAGTTTTGAGTA